GAAAGGCTGAGGCGGAAGGATCGCTGGAGCCCAGCAGGTAGAGGCTGCGGTGGCCGGGAGCGGCAGCCACTGCACTCCAGTCTGGGCGACCGAGTGAGACTCCAACTCAAAAAAACAAAACAAAAAAAAGTGGAAACATTCCAAACATCTATCAACTGGTGAATGGATCAACAAAATGTGATACAAGGTCAGGTGCGGTGGCTCACGCCTGTAATTCCAGCACTTTAGGAGGCTGAGGTGGGAGGACTGCTTGAGCTCAGGAGCTCGAGACCAGCATAAGGAATATAGCAAAAAACCTAGCTTCTACAAAAAAAATTAAAATTAGCTGGACGAGGTAGCATCCACCTGTAGTCCCAGTTACTTGGATGAGATGGAAGGATTGCCTAAGCCCAGGAGGTCAAGGCTGCCGTGAGCCGTGATTGTCATGATGATATCACTGTACTTGAGCCTGGGCGACAGACATCCCCACTCAAAAAAAAAATGTGATACAAAATTTTATTCAATGATAAAAAGGAATGAACTAATATATGCTACAACACGGATGAATCTCAAAACTATTATGCTAAGTGAAAGAAGTGCAAAAGAACACATATTATATGATTCAATTTAGATGAAATGTCCAGGCCAGGCGTGGTGGCTCAACCTGTAATCCCAGCACTTTGGGAGGCCGAGGCGAGTGGATTGCCTGAGCCCAAGGGTTCAACACCAGTCCAGGCAACTTTGGGAGACCTCGTCTCTATAATAAATCAAAAAAATTAACCGGGTGTGGTAGTGTGTACCTGTAGTTCCAGCTACTTGGAAGGCTGAGGTAGAAGGATCATCGGAGCCCAGCGGGTCAACGCTGGGTTGGTTGGCCATGACCGTGCCACTGCACTCCAGCTTGGGCTCAAGTGAGACTCCAACTCAAAAAAAAAAATGAAATGTCCAGAATAGGCAAATTTTTTTTAGGCAAATCTTAAGAGACAGAAAAATCCATTGATAGTTGCCTAAGAACAGGAATTGACTGAAAATAGATGTGAGGGATTTATTTGGGTTGACAGATATGTTCCAGATCTGGATCACGGTGATGGTTGCACAACTCTGTAAACTTACTAAAAATCATTGAATTATATACTTAAAATGGGTGAATTTTATGGTATGTAAATTTAATCTCTACAGAGCATGATAGCTCACGACTGTAATCCCAGCATTTTGGGAGGTCTATACAGGAGAAAGACTTGAGCCCAGGAGTTCAAGATCAGCCTGGGCAACATAGCAAGATCTCATTTCTACAAAAAAAAAAAAAAAAAAAAAAATTGGGCGTGGTGGCACATGCCTGTAGTCCCAGCTACCTGGGAGGCTGAGGTGGAAGGATCGCCTGAGCCCAGGAGAGGCTGCAGTGAGCCCTGATAGCACCAGTGCACTCCAGCCTGAGTGACAAAATGAGACTCTGACTCGAAAAAAAGTTTTTAACCTCAATTAGGTTGATTGCTAAAAAAAAAACAAAAAAAAAACATACTCGTACTTGGCTATGAATCATAGCTCTACTGCTTACTAGTTATGGAATCTTGGGTATGTTATTCAAACTTTCTAGGACTGTTTCCTCATCTGTAAAATGGAAATAATAGTATCTATTTCATTGGATTGTTGTGAGAATTAAAGTTAACACTTGTTCAGTTGATTTCAACAATTTTTAGCTATTATTATTATTATTTGAGTTGGAGTCTCACTCTGTTGCCCAGGCTGGAGTGCAGCAGCACGCTCACAGCCATCCCAGCCTCGACCTGCTGAGCTCAGGCCATCCTTCGCCTCAGCCTTCCAAGTAGCTGGGACTAGAGGCATGCACCACCACGTCCAGCTAATTTTTTGATTTATTGTAGAGATGAGGTCTCGCCAAGTTTCCCAGGCTGGTCTTGAACCCATGGGCTCAGGCACTCCTCTCACCTCGGCCTTCCAAAGTGCTGGGATTATAGGGGTGAGCCACTGCACCCAGTCTATTATTTTTATTAACGTTTCTACTTTCACTAAAAGTTTCTGACAATAAAGCATATTATTGGTCCATCTACTGTGAATGGGCTTTCTTTTTTTTTTTTTTTTGAGTTGGAGTCTCACTCTGTCACCCAGACTGGAGTGCAGTGGCCGCTCCCGGCCACCGCAGCCTCGACCTGCTGGGCTCCAGCCTTCCAAGTAACCGGAATTACAGGCATGCGCTACCACGCCCGGCTAATCTTTTGATTTATTGCAGAGATGAGGTCTCGCCGCCCAGGCGGGTCTCGAACCCGCGGGCTCAGGCAATCCACTCACCTCAGCCTCCCAAAGGCGCGGGATTACAGGCTGAGCCACCGAGCCCAGCTGGGTTTTATTTCTTATTGAGGTAAAATTCACATATTCTAAGACTCACCGTTAAACTGCACAATTTATTGGTTTTTAGTATATTCAGAGATGTGCAAACATCACATCACTATATAGTTTCTGAACATTTTCATCATCTCAATGGGCTTTCGTAATTGCCTGGTGTAACTATTGAGAATGTAAGATAAAAAGCAATCAAATATCTCCAATTTCCACCATCACTTAACCAATGAATGCACTTATTGAAACATAGTTTCCTATTTTGGGTAAATTGTTATGCCTAAAATTTATGTGATATAAAACACGTATTCATTTAAAATTTACTTGAGTTGTCAATGAAGAGTTAACCTAAATTCTTGTTCAACTCGCCTTACGTTTTTTTCTGATTTGAAACGAATAGCTATTTATTGCAAAAAAAACCCCCAAAACTGTATAGAGATGCATTGGATAAAAACAGAAATCACGCAACTGCTTTTTAACATCCAGCAAAAAGGGGGTTAAGAAAGTCTCAAAAATCTATAAATTTTAAAATATTCGTTTATCGGTAATTCTTCGGCTAAAGAAGTATTTTTTTTGGATCTGCTTCTTTAAAAAAGCGAACTCTGGATTCTCTCACGACACCTAGCTTCTAACCGATGCCATATTCACAGAGAACGCTGTCTAACGTCATCAAGGACCACCTCCTTTAACCCTAGAAACCGCTCCCTGGGAACAAGCTCGGTACTTCGCTTTTGCCTGCCCTGTGCCGCTGAGCCCTTCACCAAGTTCCGCGCGAGGGCGCTCTCCTTGCCGCGACTCATCACGCGGTCTCCTCCCAGCCAAGAGGCCCTGTCACAGGCGGGCGCAGACCCCGAACCGATCTCGCCTTATTAAATTATAGAAATCTTTTTTTTTTTAAGAGGCGGAGCAGCCCTTTCTGCTCTCACACGCCAGATAAGGCTCCCAAGTTCCGGGAAACGCCACAGGAAACGGAAATGGCTACTCCCTTGCCAGCGCGCGCGTCGGGTTGCATTACCCTCCTTGCATGGGGCCTTTTGGGGCGGTCCTCAGCGTTGCCTGCACGAATATCTAACAGGTCTGCGACGAATAGATCCCGAAACTTTACATCGTGTTTTCTAACAAGCCTGCTGACAGGCACTATGAAAATCCAAGCGGAGAGAAGCCCAAGCAATGAGGCCACCGCTGTACCAATCATCCTTTCCAAGCCTGGGCCGTAGTCGGCCTTCCCGCCCCCGCTTCCCCCGCCCAGCACTAGGGGGCCTGCATACGGTCAGGCAGCAGCCAGGGCGACTTCCTTCCTCTCTGGGCAAGATGGCCGGTGGCGAGGCTGGAGTGACTCTGGGGCAGCCGCATCTTTCGCGCCAGGATCTCGCCACCTTGGTGAGATTTCGCTTTGGGAGGATACGGAGTGAACTCGGGAGTGGGGATGACCGAGACTCCCGGGAGGCATTAGGACGAGTTAGTGCCGGGCTGTCGGGAGTATGGGCTAGGAGGGAGTCCCGGAGACAGGCGCCCTAACCCGCGCTCGCGCCGCCACCTGTACCTCGGCCTGTCTGCGTGCTGGGCTCGGGGGTGTGCGATAGTGAGGTCTCAAGCTTCTGAAGGATTCGGTGGCAGGGTCTTCGTGTTGAATGTCATTAAGGTTTTCACCTCTGAAGGTTTGGAAGGGGGGATGTCTAGACACAGTCCTTGGTGCTAATATTCCCCAAATGGGAGGCTTCCGGGTTCCAGATATTTCATAGTTGAGTGGAGGTATGACAACGAAGGGTCCCAGCCGTAAGAGTACAAGACTGCTTATACGGAAGAGGTGCATTTGAAGTAGAAGAGAGCTGTACAAATGGTGGCGAGCTGTAGATAGCGAGTGTAAAGTCAGAGGAAAAGTTCTGATTTGTCTTATGTGCCGTGTTTTAAAATATGTTTCATTGCAGGATGTTAGCAAGTTGACGCCACTTTCACATGAAGTTATCAGCAGACAAGCCACAATTAATATAGGTAAGATAAGAATAACTTGGGGACTGACTTGCTTTATCTTCAACAAGTAATTTTAACTTCACCTTTTGTATGGTTTCCTAATCAAGAAATAGATGTTGAGCCCTGGTGAGCAAGGTGACTGCCAGATTTTTGGGGGGGAAGACACAAAGGATGCTGTCATCTAGCTTACAGACTCGGTGAGAAGAAAAAATAAAGACATAGAAGTTTAATAGCATAAGGCAGTATGTAGTCATATGTAGAAGTTTAAGGAAGAGGTGAAAATGCAACTGTGCTTGCCACAAAGTATTGTTGCAAGGGCAGAGTTTACAAAAGTTTTATTTGATGTATAAGCTATGATTAAATGTTTTTTTCATAATTGGCACCTAGAACTTTAGAGAAGTTATGTTGACTGTAAATTTTGGACATTTTGAGAGTCTGTACTGACTGCAGAGTAAAACCTAGTTAAAGCTAAGACTCTACCATGAGACCATTAAAAAGTTATAAAATACGTGTTATCCTTGACAGCATTACAGTAATTAAACTTAGGTTGTTTTCTTGTTTTCATGAATTCCTTTTTGTTGTGTCAAGGTTCATTGAACCTATTTATTTTGGAAATACTGGAAAGTTTCTTAATATACAAGATTTTATGTACTTTTTTAACATGCTTAACTGAAAGCAGTCTTTTCTATGGTTAAAAACATAAGGTTCTTTTATTAGATTGAGTATGCTTTTTAAATAAAGCTGCTAGTTACATGGAAAGTTTTCTTTAGTCTTGTATTAGAAGAAGTTTGTAGTAGGAAAGGATATGTAGGAGGACAAAGTGAAGTCATTGCTTTGGGTTTTCCATGAACACTATTTGAAAAAAAATTTCTTGTAATTCAGTACACCTGAGTTAATTTTTGATTCTTTGTCTATAGGTACAATTGGCCATGTAGCTCATGGGAAATCCACAGTTGTCAAAGCTATTTCTGGAGTTCATACTGTCAGGTTCAAAAATGAACTAGAAAGAAATATTACAATCAAGCTTGGATATGCTAATGCTAAGGTGAGCTATATACTGTGGAACTATAAATTATTTAATTTTGATTGTTGTACAGATAACAAATCCAGATCTTTTTTCATTGAAACTTTTAGATTTATAAACTTGATGACCCAAGTTGCCCGCGACCAGAATGTTATAGATCCTGTGGGAGTAGTACACCTGATGAGTTTCCTACAGACATTCCAGGGACCAAAGGGAACTTCAAATTAGTCAGGTGACCTCTTTTGTGCTAAAAAAAACTTATTCTTCTGTTGTCTTATGCTTTTTGAAGTATTCAAGATATTAAACAATTAACCTCATTGCTGGATGGTTGTTTTTTTTTTTTAAAGTAAGATTTATTGAAAGGACATAAAAGCTCCCACAGTGGGAGGTGACCCGAAGGGGTTACCCGGTTTTGTTATTTTTCTCTTGTTTTTATTACCTGTATTGATAATTTGAACAGTCAAGTATTTAAACTTAAGTTAAACTACTTACATGGCTGGGTACGATGGTGACTCTTGTAATCCCACCACTTTGCGAGGCCGAGGTGGGAGGATCAACATAAGGTTGGGGAACGAAGCGAGACCCTGTCTTTATTTAAAAACAAACTTACATGCAAGTTCTTCAAACTAAAAGTATCACATAAGCAAAATGGAATATAGGAAGACAAAACTACACAACTCGTTGGATTTAAAGATTTTTTTTTTCAGAGGGTCTCACTCTGTCACTCAGGCTGGAGTACAGTGGCAGGATCATGGCTCAACGCAGCCTCAAATTTCTGGATTCAAGAGATCCTTCTGCCTTAGCCTCATGAGTAGGTGAAACTATAGGTGCATACTACCAGGCCTGACTATTTTCCTAGGTTTTGTGAGTTTCTTAGATTTATTTATTTATTTATTTTGAGTCAGAGTCTCATTTTGTCACCCAGGCTGGAGTACAGTGGCATGATCATGGCTGTCCACGCCCAGCTAATTTTTGAATTTTTTTTTTTTTTTTTTTGTAGAGATAGGTCTCGCCATGTTGCCTAGGCTTGTCTTAAACTCCTGGGCTCACCTCCCAAATTGCCGGGGTTACAAGCATGAGCCACCGTGCCCAGCACTGAATTTCTCTTAAACAGTGTTGTTTCTGTTTATTAGATAGGAGAAGAACAAAGCCATTCTTAATAATTATTTCTCTAAAACACTTGAACTTATTCCTCACCTATTTTCTGAATATGATTGCATATCCTGGGTCTTTATCAGAGGATACTGACGTATGTCTAGTAATGTTTATGGGGCTTGGAGATACCCACAGGGAAGTTTTAAATCAGGCAGGATTGGGACTAGGGAGAGATGAGTGAGGCATTCACTTCAGGCCCAACATTTAAGTGGAAGGGGGAGAAATATGCCCAAAAAACTCAACAATCAGGATAAATGTCTTAATGCAATGTTTTTGAAATTAATGCAAAAAATTGAACAGGATATCAGAATTTTAAATAAAGGTATACTCAGATTGGTGATTTTTTTTTTTTTTTTACTTCAGCTGGCATTATTTCTGATCTGTTTTTATTTAAAATTTTGGTGTTTTGTCTATTAAATTTTTACATTAATTTTGATTTTTTAAAATATTTATCTTGATAACTGTGTTTTTTGGCATCCCCTTAAGTTTTCCACTTGCCTCACTATAGTCCTGGCCCTGATCAGGGATCAACAGACTTTTTCTGTAAAGGGCCAAATAATAAATACTTTCAGCTTTGCAGGTCATAATATTCCAGTTTTTTGAGATAGTTTTGGCAAATTGTTTTTTTTTTTCCAGATAATTAGAAAATTATCTCTGATAAACTGAAAAAATTGCCTCATTCTGTTAACAAGTCATCAGATTTTAGCTTTTTGCTTATTTTTTTTTTAAGTTTCCCACCAAGATAATCAGAAGATTTCAGCTTTTAAATCAATGACATTTCCCGGTATATACCATATATTGTTACTCTATACCATATTCACTTTGATTGACTTTGACTGGGAGGCTGAGACAGCAAGAGGATTGCTTGAGGTCAGGAGTTTGAGACCAGCCTGGACACATAGCAAAACCCTGTCTCTATAGAAAAGAAAAGAAAAAAAAAACTAGTTGGGCGTGGCAGCTCACTCATGTAGTCCTAGCTACTTGGTAGGCAGAGGTAGGAGGATTGCTTGAGCCCAGGAGTTTGAGACTGTAGTGAGCTGTGGATTGCACCACTGCATGCCTGCATGGGTGACAGTGAGACCATCCCTTAAAAAATAAATGAATACATTTTTTAAAAAGGAAATCTATAGCTTGCATGTTTAACTAGTGATTGATTTTAAGGCTGATTGTTATTTCTCCATTGTTAGACATGTTTCCTTTGTTGACTGTCCTGGCCATGATATTTTGATGGCCACTATGCTGAACGGTGCAGCAGTAATGGATGCAGCTCTTCTGTTGATTGGTAAATACATAAGAATTGGTTTAAAGAAATAAATGTGGAACAAATCCAAGATGGAATATTTAGAGGGGAACTAAGGCTTTTAAGGGTCATATCTATTGCCTAATGGTGACATGAGTGGAAACATAACGTGTCATCCAGAATGACATACCTACCTACCAGCTATCACAAGATAGTAAACAAGATACACCTGGGGCTGATAGCTTATGAGAAGTGTTATGGTAGCATCCAAGAAAAAGACCAATAGTGCATTTTTCTCATTTATATCTTGTGAGATGATTTATTATCTCAACTTACATTTATCTTTATTTATATGTGTTGTGAGGTTTTAGTTAGTGTTCTTCCCTCCCTTTATTTAGGAGTAGCCTCTGATATTAGTTAAAATGCATAGACAGTATTAAGTGTCTTTTCCTCTTTACTCTCTGCCTGTCAGGAGCTTGGTTGGGGCCAGAACATTTCTAAGATTGGATAGAACTAGCAGGTTATTCCTTTTGCCTGAGCAGAATCTGAGGGCACACCCTAAGAAGCCAAACTTGTTGATTTCAAGCTTCTTGCTTAGGACCAGGAATGGGAGCAAGAAGATTGGGAGGTTCCAGTGAATGCAGGCACAGAGGATGAAGCAGGGATAAAAGGTGGATGCTTGGCAACAATACCCAGGACTTTTGCCTTGAGTAGGGCTAGAACATTCAAAAGTCTTCTTTATTAGATGCCAGCTTTGTGTGTGTGTGTGGGGGGGTGGGCTAGTGATAAAATATACTCAGAATTTACCATTTTAGCTATATATAAGGTGTACAATTGGGTGGCATTAAGTACATTCACAGTGTTGTACAATATAGTGGCTATAACATCATCACTATCCAGTTCCCAGAACTTTTTCACCAGTTTTGGAAACTGATGAAACCCCATATCCTTTAAGCAATTGTGATCCCTCCCTCTCCCCAGCCACTAGCAACCAATAATCTGCTTTCTCTCTGCATTTGCCTGCCTATTCCAACTATTCTTACTTACATCCATTTTTTTTTATTCTTCATCAACTAGCTGGTAATGAATCTTGCCCTCAGCCTCAGACTTCTGAACACCTGGCTGCTATAGAGATCATGAAGCTGAAGCATATTTTGATTCTACAAAACAAAATTGACTTGGTAAAAGAAAGTCAAGCTAAAGAGCAGTATGAGCAGATCCTTGCATTTGTACAAGGTAAGAAACTATGATAGCTAATACATCTGTGAATCACTTTGAGAGGCATTTAATTTGCATACTAAATGTTAAATTAACTATTGATATATTATCTAAAACAAGGTAAATTGATGAATCTTGAGGCTTTTTACCTACTACTTGTTAACAATCTGATGTAATTAATGAAATCTATGTTTCTGAATTTAACATACTAAAATATATTTTTGCTGCCTGAAAGTTAGAACTGAGACTGTATTCTGGAAACTCTATCTTCAGAGTTTAAAAAAAAAAAACTCCTCAGTGACAATAAAATGAATAAAATCTTTTTTTCAAAATTAAATCTTACACTATTTAATCTTACTGAGTAGCTACTTTCAGATTTGGAAGTGAGTGATTGATTTAATCTTTATAGTATCCCTTTCTCTTAACAGCATAATGATTTTCATTTTGGGAAAGACACGCATCTTATTGTTGACATTTGATCCTCTCTTAGTCTCTTTCTTGTTAGAAAGGTTAACTTCCAGCCAGGCTCGGTGGCTCAGCCTGTAATCCCGCGCCTTTGGGTGGCTGAGGTGAGTGGA